AGTGTAGATATGCACCTCGGTCCGGCGGCGATATTACCCCCTGTGCATTCTTCAGGTAAGTTGACCATTGTTTTCTGCACTGTGCGCTTGTTGGGTGCGATATTACAAGCAATCGAAAACAAATCACCTTTCGTCCTCTACACTCATAAAATATTATCCATCTAAGCGTATCCTTTTGCTTTACGGAAGCCGCTTTCAACTGTCTAGCTGATTCTAAGTACACTAGGTCCCTTTCATGGAACAATAACAATGACAATTTGTAGTTGGCAAAATGTGGTCGTTGACTTTTGAGTTCGTTAGTGTTCACTTACATTTCTTTGTTTAGTAACCTAAATCAACCTATTTGTTTCTTCGATAGTGCACCACTGACACTTGACTAATTCAGCGCAGCGGCATCACGAAATCCATCCTTCTCATCCAGCCCTACTTAGATATCTGTTAGTCTGTTAGTTGTTTTCTTTCCTGTTTTTGTTTCCGTTGGTTGGTGTTGTTCAGTACGAAATTGCACGTTCTATTGGATCACTTTCGTCGAACCTGTCTGTACACTAGCCTTGGTACACCCAGCTCTTTGACACGTTGGTTGTTGGCAGAAATAAGCCTCGGTTAGCTCATCATCAGCTGCTTGCATCCTTTATTAGGTAGGGCTGTAGCACTAGCTGCGAGCCCTGAAACTGGGTCGATTTGATGAACGATTCGATCAAAGTAGAGGAGCAATACAACCAACATTGCTTGTGCATTGGAGTTCGTATTGCATCCAAGCCTCAAGATCTCCTCCGAGTCTGTAAACCTACTGGAGGGAGGATACGCAACAGATATCAACCGGCCGAATCAAAGTATGGATATGTGGGGTCGGCAGCGTCATCTTATGAAAAGCCTGAAGAAGGATCGCGAAAACTGATGAGCCAAAGTACCGAATGAAATGGAAGTAGTGGTTGCCTCGGTATGGTCAAATACGATCCTTGCTGACACACAATACTAAAGGTCGGTGGATCCCGGTCAGAGAATCAACCAGCGACAAAAATAAACAGGCGGTTCATAAACGACGGCAGCCGTATCGTAGAGTCAGCTTCTCCTAGAGAACGATTCAGCTGGCCTGATGCTCACCGTATTACTTCCCCAAATGCAGCTGAAGTGCATCAATCAGTGTCATTTGAACCCATATTGGAGCTTGAGCTACGAAACTGAATTGAAGCATTGGATTAAATGAATGAGAATCCCATCCCTCAATCTTTTCAAGACGAGAGGTGACTCCTTCATAGGTGCTTTACTGTTTTAGTGTACTACATCATCACGGAGCTAAATAACGGTCATTCCTATTCTCAAGAATAGATCACAGAACGACTGCGAGAACCGGTGTGGGATAAGTTAAGTTCCGATCATCGCAAAAGTTTTAACTTCTGTGGTACTTCGCCACCTGTCAGCTCTAGAGAAACGGATATCGGTGAACATCAGACAGGATTCGGGCCAAGTCTTGATCAGGTATTGATCTAATCCTCACATTCCGTCATGTGCTTGGGCTAAGCCATACCGTCGATCAACGATCGCGGTGTTCCTTGATATCCAAAGGGTATTTTTTACTCGGGTCTCCGTGACTGTCTATTCGGTTCGGTTTTGCGAAAGAGTGTGTGTGGATGGTCAAAAGAAATCGGAAGTGGCTCAATCAGCTGGCATTATAGTGGTGATTAGATCTGCAGCTGTGAGAAACTATCGTGTATACCACACACGTTCACGGAGGTACACAAGCCACCCCACCTCGTCACTGTGTGTAGCAATTTACTTTTGTGCGTTGATTTTGATTGCTCTCTTTTTTGCTACGTTTAGACGAAGGAGTAGTTCAGTTCAGTTTTTACAACCATTAAAAACTGAACTGAACGAAGGAGTAGAGGTAGGGTTGGAACTTTGGAAGCAGTGTCCTTGTGAAGATAGAAAGTTTTGATAGATTAGGTTGCAGTGATTGGGAAGATGCACGTGCGCCACTGTTTGGTTACACTCAACCCAAAGTACCTAAAGTGAACCACCTGTCCAAGGTAAACTACAATAAAAAGGTAAATCCCCCACCGACTTAGAGCATACTGTAGGGGCGGGCAAAATTCACAGGAAGATGAACTGAGATGAAGAAGCGTAATAAGAAACAACATTCAGAGCAGCATGATAAGCAAACTGAGCTATAAAAGGAGGGAGGCCGCATAAAGAAATTATGATCGATCTCAGAAATGGTACAGAGTTTGTGGAACGCGGATGGATGGAATAAAAAGAGTGTGGTGTTTTAGAGAAATTGAAGGAAAAGATGTTTTAGGATTATTGAATGAAACATGGTCGAAATTGCTCCAGGATGAGATCAGAGTCCCGTGATGGACTAACTTCACTACCGTCACCATCAATGTTGGTGCGGACATGACGAGTAATGCGGTAGACGGGGAGCAGTGGAGAGTGGCATCATCGGCAAAAGTATGGATTGGGTTGACAGTTTTAGAAAGGAGGTCGTTGATAAATACAAGAAAGAAGGTGGGTACAAGTACTGAAACTTGGAGAACGACTGTATGATGTGAGTGTACGGTTGATCAGAACGACTGAAGATTGTGCGTTTAGGTGAAGTCTGAAGGATGGTCAATTCAAATCAATGTCGATTATCCCACACCACTGTTCACAGGTAATTGTGAGTCAGATGTAAGATTTGTCCTGTATTTTTGGCCAAAATGTCCTGTAGTCTGTTAGGTTCGTATAGAAACGGTGCATGCGTAAACTGAAAATAATGGCTATTTCGCTCGCACAACTTAACAACCGAAACAGTTTGAGTTATTGTCTGCAGTTAGCATGTGGTCACTCGATGTTTTGGCTCATGTCAATTGCTCGAGCTGTGTCACGTTTGCAGCCTTGCTGGACTTGTAAAGGGAGTTTAACTCTGTTGGCCGTCGAGTTCTCTTGTACGCAAAACGATGCTGAAGAACTAAACCGACTTGTTGAAGTTTATTCTCAAACTCTTTTAACCCAGCAAAAGTCAACAGTGTGTTAAGTAACAGAGATTTTCAAGTTCACCCTCTTTAACCATTAGTAGATTAGATATTAAAATTGGGAGCTGGATAGATTCTTTCTACTCGCCTTTTTTATCATGAACGGGCTACAAAACTCTGAAGTTTTTGGTGAATTGTGCGAAAAACTGCTTAGTAAGTGGAGCTATAAAGAAGTTGGTTATCCCCAAAACACTGAAGTTTCAAATAGAACAAGGAGTGGCGAACAAGCTCGTTTTCAGTGATTCGTAGTCATCCAATACCATCACAATAAATATTACGCTGTTTATATATAAATCAGTATTCAACCATAAAAACGCAAAAATATGTTTCACGAAAGGGAAAAATAACCTCATGGGTTATCCGGAGCTAAGTTCATCCTGGGACCCGATTTGGAATTCTCAATGATCACATAATTGTTAGATCATCCGATCGTTGGGACCACTCGGAATATGGGGTGTATAGGGGAGCTTAAGCGCCTGCACAAATTGTTTTTGGGCACACAAAGGGGGGTGGTGCAGCCGAATTCCTACAGCTTCCGCTGTGGCTAGCATACGACAGCGAACCTGCCTTGATAATCGACCACGAACTCGATACAGGGGACGGAATGCCTCGGTCATGTTCACTATGGAGTTTGATGCAACCAGGATCGACAGCATTAGGTGAACTCTATATGTAATTGATGCAATTAGCTTTGTGTTTGTTGGATATTTGACAACCGAGTGCGCCTTAGTTTATGATAAACTAGTGTCGTGACTTGACGAGCTTTTCAGAATAAAACATGAGTGACATTAAGATGTTTCCATAGTGTGGTGCAGAGTAACAGTCAACACCTCAGTGATCATCAGTTTGGCACGTGCTTTCCATTCAAGTTGTATGTTATTCTTCGCTCGATAATTTCCAGCATGATGTACTCGTTCTCAGGATGGGATAATAAGAATAAATGATGTGTTTGCCTCATTGTTCATCAAACTGGAGCATGTGATAAATACATACTTACCATGCGGCAGAAGAGCCGGAAGTCTTGATACCCATGTGACGTTAGAGCACACGAAGTTTTCATTGAATTAACCAATAAACTCAGTGGGCCGCTAACATTGTCTCGTCTGGATTACACGAAACTCATTCAGTTTTCAAAATTCTATTTACTTTTGTTTGACATATCCCCGTCTCTTGTTGTCTTTAGGTTGTGCTCGAACTCAGGGTTTCTATCGGATGCCAACGGAAGAACGCTTCCGACGTCCATGGTCTGTTGGACGAAGTATGGTCGGAGACGATGGTCGTAGGCGTCCTATTCCTCTGATGCCAGCGACAGTTGAAGCCCAGCTAGGTGGTGCAGCCATATTACAAGGTAACATATTCGGATTGCGAAATCTTGATCGATCCGATCTATCTGTTTGATTTCGTTTGCTTACCGCTTGTAATAGAGTGATTCGTTGATATTGATATTGGCCTATCTACACTTGGCATACGGCGGTTGAGTTCTTTTGCTGGATCGTAACACCTCCTTTCATGAATGAATATGGTTTTGTGAGAGATATTTCTCTTCCATATAACTCATCACGCGCACACACGAAATCCTTGCAGATCCCACAGCGTCCGCAATTCCTGACGCTCTCAGCTAACTACAATTTTACAATTTTCTCGCACCAAAATGTGCTTAAATGTTCTGCTGTTGCATATTTACACGTATTCTGACTGACAGATGAGTGTCAGAGACCCCTTTTTTCTTCAATTCTGTATTGCGTTATCTAGCCTTTTTATGCGTGAATCCACCGCATTTGAGGTGCAATATTTGTGTGTGTTGTTTCTCATGACGAATCTGAAACCAAAAACTACATGGAATGTGATTACGTCCTCTTCTCTTCTGCGTACAATTGGTATTGCTCCAAGCAGGTTGAGATTGGGCGGCAGTTGTATGACTTAGACCCTAGGGGATTGCTTTTTCCGCCTCAAAATCCGATGTGAAAGTGTTTTGAAAACGGTTTCGTGTTACAATTGTGTTTTATTTCGGAATATTACTTGAAACCGGGCGTTCTTTTGTTATTTATCCTATCCCACATCATCGTCTTTTTTCTTCGAAGTGTATTGTACACCAATCGATTCAGTGTCAGTTACTGTTGTTTTTTATATTATGGACGCCTATTCTCAGTGCGTTCGTGATTCCGATTCTTGCTGTTCATTCAAAGCATCCTACCTCTATTCGAAATGTAGCATTGGGTGTCAGCATTGAAGAACGTCTGACTGAACAGGCATCGGAAGCTAAAAAGAAGCAGCTAACGCAATTTCGCGAGGCACGTTCGGTTCAACGTCGACTTTTAGCGGAATTTCAAGATATTGAGACGGGAGATCTACTGAAGTTCAATCAGCTCAAAGTAAGCTGCGGTTTTGTTTTGGTTGAGTGAGACAAAAAAGATTAACATGACCGTATGATCATTGCGATCACCTTTTGTCATACAAAAAGAGATTTTTGCAATTAGCAGTAAGTATTTGAGTTTTTTTCTGCCCATTCCTGTGGTCCACAGGCATGCAGTGTCATGTACTTTGTAAACGTGCCCTTTATTCCGGGTTCGAATAAAATCCATCTTTTTGCATCCAAAGTTCATTCCACGAACCACGCCGGAGTTATCGTTGCTGCACCGTCGTTGACTATTCCAACTGTATACAACTATGAACTGCTTTTTCTAACGACTCTGGTACTGAATATAGAACTAGCTGTGAATAGTACTATTTTTGTTTTCATCCAGCTTCCGTCGATATGTTCCTTTGTTACGTCCCTCCGAATATCGCTGCTGCTGTGCTCGGGGAGGTCGTTCGGTGAAGCAGGACCAATCACAATTGAAAAAAGACGCCAATTGGTTGCAGCATGTTTCTCCCTGATCGACAACGGTAGAAGATAACGCATTAGGAAACGAAATTTCTGACATGACCAGTTTGTATGCAGAATATTAAACCAATCGGTTGTACGTATGCTGCTTGTGTTATTACCCACGTAGCGTAATGCGTACCCCGTTGTTTTTTTATCAAGTGGGTTTATAATCTGCTCCGTGCTCAATGATTTGTGTTCGTTTAGACCTAGACCGATTCTCTGTTTGTTTGGATTCCAGTAGACCGTCGACTATGGTCATGTGGTAAGGTCGTCAATTTAGTCACCTGGGGGTCCCGAGTTCAAATCTAGCCACCGCCGCGCACCTTCCCGTTTTCTGTAATTCCCAAACACCCTTTGTGTGGCCGTGTCCTTCTTCCTTGAAGTTTATCGCGCATTTCTATAATAAATAAATAAAAAGAAAGAAAAATCATTAATATTTAAAGTCGCTGGTTAGGAAATGAATCGCCGTTTTTTGTAAACACGAACCGTAAAACGGTACATTCCTTTGTGTCTATTTCCTGAACCATCAATTCCCTTTCCATAATTTAGCGTCAACTTCTAACTTGATCGCGTATCATATCCTGCAGGT